CTTCAGATCGCTATTGTTTTTCCATCGCAGCTCTACCCTAATTCGGCGAAGGTAGTTTTCCATTGCAAATTTGTCCTAAACTCGAGGCAGGTATCTTCTTCCTTGTGTGGCCACAACTCTCTGCTCAAGAGATACAATTTCAGGTGTGACTATTTTCCGATCTAGTTACTCTTTCTCCCATAAGTTGTAACATTGGCATTTTTTGCTTGTTTTGATTCAAGTTGCTTTTCTTCCATTAGCTTTGCTCTAAACTAATGACGTGTTTAATTTGTGTTAAGGATCAGTTTCAGGTTTCATATATATGATATATATGTTTACATCCATAATACAAAGAGACAGTGGGGCTTTAAAGCCAAAAATTGCTTGCATAATATTTTGCTAAAGAGATAAGTACAAGCTCGTAGGCGCTTGGATCTGTTTTTTTAAAAATTAGTATTTTACTTGTAGTGTGGACGAAGAACTAGCTGTTTTATGTAAATAACTATTTTTTATCATAGGTCTTTCTTAGTCTCATCACTTTCTTAGTCTATTATATTGTTTTAGTGTTGTGCTCAATTTCATTGTCTTTTACCAAACATATTTATTAATGATTAATGTTGATATGGGGTTGATCCTTGTTCTTTACATGTTATATGGCGTAACTTGTAGTTGTATGATGGGTTTGGCAATTTACTGTTGAATCAATTTAATAGGTGTAGATGCTAAATAGTTTTCAGATGATTCCGGAGTAAAAGAGTCACATTTTGAATCCCAAATTTCAACAGGGAAAATGAATTATCAGATTAATCAAAAGGGAAAGAGTGTGGGATTCTCGGTGACAAACAAATTCAATTGACGACTCACCTAAACAATCATTTATTAATTCGTCAGGTAAATCACTATGACATAGAGATTTTATTTCCTTCTTGGTCGTTCTATGCCAATATCTAATATTTTTTGTTAATTTTTAGTCTATTCAATCTACTCAACAAGGTACTGTTTTTAGTCATTCTATGATTCTTCTATTTGTTAGTCATGCAGAGGCTCACATATAACTTGAATTTGTAAGATCATCAATTCATGTCCTCCAGTTTTCTGGCCTGAGTTGAGAAACCACAAAATGTATCAGAAAATCATTTTCGTGAAAACACTATGGAGATAAAACAAATGTATCTGCCTAATAAAATCTAATGGGGGAAGCCACCTACTACTTGAGTTCTATTGTGTGCAACAACTGGCCTTTTATATGTAAGAAGATGAACACTCAAAAAGATAAAAAGAAGTTACAGATGTATGCTTTACCAATTCAGTAATTATTTTCTCTTTGGACAACATATTCATGTTAGTATGTTACATGAAACAAAATAAAATTCTCTCATTAAATAGAAAGGTATACATTCTGTCAAATTATCAGACAAAATTTATACTTATTTTACAAGTACATTAAAGTAACTACTTCAAAACAATACCCATCGTACATTTTGTTGGAATGATACTAATCACAATAGCTCGAGATCATAAAGCCTAGAAGTATCTTTTGGATACATAGTTGGGATTCTTCATTACGAAATATCTGGACAGCTTTTGGTTTGATGCTATTAACTTTAAGCTGGCTACATATTGCCATTTTGCTACTCTAGAAAGGATGTCTCAAATGATATGTTTGATGATAGAGCTGTTTCTTCACTCTTCTTGTCCGACCATTTTATAATTTCTGCTTGCAATATATAATACACAGTTGCTTCTATAGCCATGCGAATGCTTTACCCTTTTTACATTTGTGATGAGTCATTGTCCAGTTAACTTCTTTATTCCAATGTAGTGTTTGCTTCTGAATTCTCATCCATCTTAGTAGACTAGTCCTAATGCCTGAAGAACACTCTAAAACGAGCATCATAAAGGTGACATGTAGCTCCATTGGTTCCATTAAAAATTACTAGACTCTCGACCGGAATAAATTCTTTCCTTAGAAGATTTTCTGAATTTGCAAAGCTATTCTTTTTCAATTTTGTTACTCTTGTTCTTCTGTTGTCTTGTGTTGTTGAATTCTTTTAGTTGTTGAGTCTCTTTATTTGAAATCACACCTCAATGAATGATCCTTGTATCATTATGAAAACTGTGATGTTAAATTTTATTTTAATCACTCTGTGGTGCATGTAATTTTGAAACATATTGTTTATATTTAAGAATATGAAAATGATAATGATTAAAATTTGGGGGACTAAGATTGATACGGGTGGTTATGTCTTTAATATTAACACTAAAATTGAGGAGTTTATATGCGTTGGTGTATAGACTTCACGTATTGAGAATATATATACTTTTTAAAAACACTATAATACTTTAAGTGTTGGATATTATATGGTTGATCTGTTTTTTATGGAGATACAGTTAACTGGTGATTTTTATGAAATAAGAGTGAGTGATGTAAAATGGTATTACTATAACAGCATCTCCAGATTTTCTTTAACTTTTTTCGATAGTAAGCATAGTTGCAAAACATCTTCTTCCTCTATTATTTTTCTGGACAGGTGCACACAACTTTTTCATACTCTTGTTTCTATTTTATGCACAGCTACGCACAACTTCTCAGGGTCCAAATTTTTTACCATAAAAATCTTATCCATTTTACTCAACCTGATGGTGCATACTAGTAGGAACTTAGCTTTACTTAAACACTTTGATGGAATAAGGCTTTGCTGGTGTGTACTACTTTGCTTGATTGTCTTCTTTTGAGGGCTATTTTTATTATCCACTTTTCATTGTTAAATGATTCCTGTAACAGTAGAATTGTAACAATCTATTGAAGAGTTCCACATAACTCTGGAAGCTTGACTCATAACATCATGTCCTATAATTCTAAATGTTGCATGAGTATGTAATTGATGACTTATTAAAACACGATCTCTATGTGAAGATTTTATCATTACATAGCCTTCTTTTAGTGGCCTCTATACTACATCAGTTTTTGTATCACGATGAGGAACTTGAGCCACCATTAATTTGCTACAAATGAATTTCGGTAACATTAGAATGTTGTCATGTCTGATTATTGGAACATTGTTTATGCACGCGCATATTCTTCTTTTATATTTTCTGCCCAGCAGCACACTCAACTGTAGTATCCTTCACTTCAGGGAATTGAAAAAGAAAGCTTTTCCAAGCTTGGATAAGATCAAAAGAACTAATCGCTTTCTCAACTTCTTTTTACTCAAATTTTATTTTCTGCATAGCTGCACAACTTCTATGTTTTTACTTTTCATTTTTTAGTCTATTTGTTTCTATTTTCTGACCAGTTCTGTTTAGTTATGTTTCTTCAAAATAGTTTTTTAATTCTTTGGCATCTCAAAGCTTTTCTATTTGATTTTTCTTATATTCTTGCAGCTTTAATTAAAACTATAGGTTTTAGATAGATTTTTATTTTATAAAAATATATTATAAAATATTAATAAAATTGACTATTAGATTTCATATAATTACTTAATGAAAAAAAATATATTATACGAAAATATAATTTTTTTCCGTAATTTGCTAAAATGAAAAATGTATAAGAGATTTTTTTTAATATAAGATTTAAATTAAAAAAAATTGTTTATGTTATTAATTATAATTAATTGATATGAGTTTATTTCACAAAAAATCCCAACAAATTGGAGGATAACATTTTCATCGATTCATATTATTGATTTTTCTCATTATTTATTTATTTCCATAAATTGTTTTTTCACTATAACTTTAAAGTATATATTTCCTTGTTCAATTTTATTTGTCACATAAAATGTTTTTTTTATACTGCGACTCAAATATGATTACTTTGGTCTGACCAACAAATTCTATCAAAAGGCACCATGTTTATACTAGAAATGATATTTGTATTACTGTTGTATATGGCATGGTGCACAGGTGCACTTATTCTTAAAGAAAAAACCTATGGAACGAACCCTTTGAGATGATCCGGTGGTTTCGGCTCAAGTTTGAGATTCTTTGCCAGCGAAAGCAAAGAGTTTGCCTTATGGATCGAGCTTGTCGCACTGGACTTGCTGAGTGCGGTTACCTCTCCTGTTTTGTTTGCGAGCTATTGCATAGGAGCGGTGGCGCATCCAAAGAATAGCGATTGCAGGTTTTCTTTGTCATCAAAAAAAAAAAACTTATGATATGATTCAGAAAGGGTGAGACTACTCCTACATATTCAGTGGTACACCCCTATTATCTCATCCTCGAGACTAAACTAAATAGCAAAGTTGGCTTGAGGAGCGCAGATGAGGAAGCGGGAGCAAGAAAACCATTAATCTTTTTCTTGTCCTTAAACTTTTTGTTAAGGGGCAAAGAGAAGTGTGTTTGTTACTGTAAATGAAAACAGACATCCTGAAGGTTCAAGACTTATCCGAACATCAGCGAAGCTAGATTCTTATAGCGGGGTATTTCGAATTAGTGAAGCGTTGTTATAGCATTGAAGCCCTATATATGTGCTATAATGATGAGCCAAGGACGCTCTACCTTCTCTATCGAAGCAATCAATTGAGTTCCGAACGAATTAGCTCCTTGGTTATGTAGGATTGCCACTAATTAATTGTTTTGTTCTTTAGAGTATTATGATTACAATTTTTTTTTTCTTAAAATACAAAGGACTATATATGATTTAACACACAAGTATATACAGTTAAAAAGTGGTGCTACATATTTTTTTTGTATGGCATTTGGATTTAAACTCAAATATTTTAAAATATATATACAATTTAAGAAATAATTTATTACTATTTTTTATGAAAAGGCTTGGACCTAAAATTTCTGATTAAGAAGATACATACGATCTCACATTCCATCGAACTCCTTGATGGTAATTGGCATGCCACTAGCACGTTAGTCGGGTGATCAAAACCATGTCAACCATGAATTGCAGTATAGTATTTTCATTAATTCTTCAAAAGTTGATTCAAAATTATATCTCTTGATTAGGTACTCTCTTATTTATTAGTATTTTGCAATTAAAATAAAAAAAACTTCCAAGTTTTACGGTACAATCTCCCTATCCCTTTTTCCTCTCTTATCTACTTGTTTGTAACTAACATTACCTTAATGAAGGTATATATGTTACACCAACTCAATTATTGTTATTAATTGATGATCAAATAAATCTAAGACGATGGCAACGGGGACTTATGTTCGATTAGCAAAGGATCAAGAATCTTCATTGAAAAATATTACTCCTGGCGAGCTTAATCAACCTATTGATGTCCAAAAGGTTATTTTAATCTTTCATAACATTTCTTCTAATTATATTCAATGAGAATTAATAAGCCTATCCATTTGTGCCTTGAATGGTAATAGAGAAAATGGATCTGATCTTTGCCCTGCATGTGTGAGTTGAACGAATTTAAAAGTATATTCTGCTTAACTATCTATGATATCATATGTTCACATTCTAATAATTTTATTTTATTTTTATCATTTTTGTTTGTATTAACATAGGTATTCTTGGTTTTTGACCAAGGGGGAAAAAACCACATCCTAACCCTGTCGATTTATCATACATTATTATATATGCATGCATCGTCAATTATAAATTATTCGACTATATGTTTATTTGATCGAGTGAATTGATGGAAAAAAGAACAATTTGTTTTTACTTACTTCATTAAAAGAAAATGGGGACCAAATAAAGAACAACTCATCTAAAAGGTGAATGAAGAATTTGCATTGCCATATATATATATATGAGTTTAATTCCCTCAATAAGATCATAATAAGGAAATTGTTAATCACTAATAACATTAATTCCTATAAGAATAGAGGGTTGGCATAGGTCATGTCCTCGTAAAAATGCCCAAACTTGATAAGCTCTTGGCATATCTCACTACACTCAAGGCAACATTCCAATGTAAGTGCTTAGGGTGTTTCATGAACTGGCTTATGTTTGGCCTAGTAATGATCAAATAAATAGCTTACCAACAAGACTTTGTCAGCTGAACATATCATCAAATAAAGGACCATCTGTCTTGTCAATAATCTAAAGTAGTCATTATAACATTGGCCTCCGAAAATGTAAAAGCAGTCTTAGCTCCCAAATCTTCACATAAAACAGGATATCCAAATACTGCTTAGTATCAAGAATAAGAGAAAACTTGCTACCTGTAAGGACATCATCAACATAGATTAACAACAGCGCAATGTCCTAACCATGTTGTTTAGTAAACAATGAATGGTCATGTGAACTCCGACTATATCCTGCATTTAAGTTTTTTTTCAAGTGCAGTAATCTTCACTTGCATTAAATCTACCTATCATTTACTTTGTGAGGCCTTCTGAAAAGATCTTGGCTCTAGAATGACTTAGAAGAGCTCATACATGCTTGATAAGTTTTGAATAAATGAGAATAAGCAACATAATAAGTAACGATAGGAACGATGCCCAAAAGATTTGATACAAGTGATAGAGTTTAGGAATGCCTTCCCTATACAGTTTCTTGATGTTCTAATGTACACCATATTATCTTGGTATGTCGTCATTAGACCAGTCCGGTCAACTTCTTCACCAAGCTCAACATTTTCAGATTCAGGTTGCATTAAAGTATGATTAGTAGGAAGTGGAGTATCAAGTCTTTAACATGCTCGTCATTGTCCATGTTTGCCAATTACTTGCTTGATTAGATTAACTCGCCTTTTTCCTTCTCTTAAAATCAGGATTCACCATGTGATCCATGTATGGTACATTGTTGTTTACATTGGTGTGCAATGTGTCAAGAACACAGAGAGATGAAGCTTCATTTATCATGTAATGATAATCCAACAACAACACTTGTAGATCCACCTCCACTTCAAGAGATGACCACTACAACTCAAAATAATGATGATCAGGTTGTAGCTGATTCTTCAGGCAAAGAAATTGTACCATATGAAGATTTGGAGATAGAATCCCCCTAAAATATCCATCTTGTACATTTTTTTTCTACCTGAGATTTATGGGAAACAACTTCTCTGTAACACTTTATTTGTGAGGTCATACTGGGAATTAAATGTTGTTGGGAAAACATCTGTCGAATTTAGTCATTTGACAATAAAATAGGATTTCTTTTTGTGAAACTGATTATTAAGCAGCCACAATTTTGTATCAGTATTAAACTTTAATATTACTTGTTGCACACCTTATGAATTCTTATTTTCCTTGTGTACTAGAAAATAGAAATAAGAAAAATCTTTTAAGAACAAATAACAGAGCAAAAATTAAAAATTATTTACTTTATATACATAGTAAAAAACATCAAACTCACCACCAAAAGAAATTGAATATCTTGAAAACACAGTAAAATTTCACAAACTAAATGTCTTTCATCTCATTGGATTTTTAATTAAATTTTTTTATAAAATAACAGAGAAAGACTTACTGCAGTATTGTCATTTGTGAATTGTTTTACATTTGTTAAGGAAAAGGAGTGATTTTGTGTCAGGATATTTACCGATAAGAATTTCAATTGATTCAATTATCTCTTTTTTTTTTTTTACTTATTTCTTATTTATTGAGGAATATTTGAATTGTCATAGTTACTGGAGATTATATGATATTATGAGTAAGTTTTTATATTAAAAATCAATTTTATATTATATGATTTAGGACGCTGATATCCTAAATCAGGAGGAAGAGTTTTGCCTACAACACAATTATTTCTTGAAGGAGGAACCTTGAACAAGTTTGGAATCGATCGATATATATATGGATATTGGACTTTACATATGGCAGTTCTTGTATAGTAGTATGTATTATCTTAAAATATTTATACAATAACATGGGCTACACGTGCCTAGGAACAGGTGTTTAGGAAAAAGGGAGATGGACAATCTGGTAATTGGAGGAAGTTGAAGAGTATCAAATTAATGACTTCATTGAAGGAAGGAGTAGAAAGACGAAGAAATTGAATATATTAATGTCATCAATTAAGTGAACATAAGAAAAGACGTTTGAAAACACTCTATGAGCAGTATTTTTTTTTTAATAAGAGTGTGTGACAAATCATCATGATTCCCTACCCTAGAATGAACTTTATAAACCATATGGAGAATAGCAAAATTTCATTTAATACATCATTCTTCTCTTGGAGATTGTTGAAAAAAAGAAATTACCTTCTAATGAAAATCTGACTAAATTTGGTAAACAAGTGTTAACTACGTGTAAATGTAAGGAATCAATGCACTTTGTAGAATTGATGGAGGATGAAACCTCTCAATGGGATACACAACTTTCTACTACACATAACTCTAATCATGGTCAATTTGGAGATAATGAAAAATACATGTCTTGTAAATATGAAGACCAAAGAAAAATTGGGGGAAAAGATGCAACGTCAATTTTTTTTTAAAAATTAAGTAAAGCAATTGATAATTCAATTTGTCAATGCGTGCATCACAATCAATATAGAGATAGAAGTTTCCTTACTTATACTAGTAAGGCTAACATATCTGGATTAACCAGAGATAATGTTGACATTTGTTGGAGTTTAAAGTTTAATGATGTTTAACATATATGCTTGTCAAAAGAGGTTCTGGTGAACTCACTGTCACAATTGTCATAACATCCATGAATAATATCACTTTATAAGGAGTGGCTAACCAAATTATGAATAGCTTAGCTAAAGAGAAGTTGATTCAAAGCATTTAATCTTGATTGCAGCTCATTTGTTTGACCACATGAACTTTCACTTTATCGGTGTCAACTTCTAATAGACTCGATCTAGGAAAATCTAAATACTTCGGTTTTATGAAATTAGAAGATGCCCAAAACAAATACATAAACAAACAAATTGTTTGTTGTCAATGACCATATGTTGAGCTAGGTCATCTCAAAATACCTGTCATCATCTTAGTGAAAATTGCGGGATATTTTGTACAAACAACTTTTTATAATTAAGTTAAGCTCGATATTTTGTACAAATAACTTTTTATATTTTAGTTAACCAGAAGACGCTGAAAATAAACAAGGAAAATAACCAAATTAATTGTCATCAATGACCACATCTTGAGCTTCAAATTCACCGTCATCTCCGCCATCTCTAGCTTCGGATACATCGTCAGCTCCGCCATCTCTAGCTTCGGATACATCGCCATATCTGCCATCTCTGCCATCTCCAGCTTCGGATACATCTCCATCTCTAGCTTCGAATTCATCGCCATTTTCACCAGCTTCAGATACATCACCGTTTCTAGCTTCGAATACATCACCACCTCTAGATTCGGATACCTCAGAATCTCTATGCACTCTAACTTCCATCAACATATCAACAGAATTTCTATGCATTTCTATTATCGATATTGTTAGCTGGTGTGTGTTACTGGTGTAATGACAACATGAAAAACAAGCATCACTCTATCTTCGCTTATATCACTGCTGCCATCATCACCTCTTTCATCTTCACCGTTTTCTTCATCTTTCTTCTCACATTGTTCGTCCACTGGCATCTTATACCTACAAATCGGACACGATCCATTGATCCCCAACCACTTGTCAATACAGATTGTAACACCCCGTATTCAAAATAGACAAAAAAATACAGATTTTGAGAAGTTGCAGGTGAAACTTACGGTCACCATCCACGGACCGTAGGTCAGACCACGGCCCATGCTGGTGAACCGTGGTTCACCACTGCAACCCCTCCCCAGCCAGCTCAGAAAATTGGTTAAGTCTCGACTCACGGACAAACCCACGGTCCATAGATCAGACCACGGTCCGTGGTCTGTGTCCGTGGATCAAGACCTCCTTACCCAGCCTCTGACATGAGCTACGGTTGACCAGCACGGACCGTCGTTCTATCCACGGTCCGTAGGTCTGACCGTAGATCGAAGGTCAGCAACCAGTTAGCTGAAAATTCTGATGGGTCAACTTCAGTTGGTCATAACTTTTAGTAAAGAATGAATTATGTGTCCCATGACCTATGGTTCGATAGATAATTGAATTATCTTTCCAACGCCACTAAGTTTGCTAAATTCCGACCTCCGAGTAAAACGTTATGCCCGTTTTAGTGAAGGCCTGTCGAACAGGCTTGACTTACGGACGCAATCTACGGACCGTAGATTGACCTACGGCCAGTAGGTCCATTCCGTAGATCACTCCGACAGTAGTTAATTCAGGGGTCTTTTGGTCTTTTCCTATTTCGTTTAACCCCTAAGATACATCGTTTAGACCCTAAATCATGAGGTTTTAATTAGTTTAAACCTAGAAACATAACTAGAACTTACCTAAGTCAAATTCATTAATCAAAACTTAGAAAATTAGAAGCAAGAAGGGAGAAAAAGGCCAAGAACCCTAGTTCAAGAACGCAGCAAGGTTCCATCAGTTCCAGCCCCGAAATCGAAAGATTTCTCCGTGGAATTCGTCACCAGGTATGTGGGATTTCACTAGTGGGTTCCTTTCGCCCATTAGGTCCCTAGAATTCAGTCAGATTCTTGATTCCTTGATTATGAACAAACCTAAGGTATCTAGAATTATAGCAGATCATCATGAATTAGTTATTTAAATGTTCCAAATCAGATTATCATGTTATTGCTCAGTTTATCGCATGAATTTCAGAACCCTAGCTATGTATTTCTTTAGTTCTTGAATTACACATGCTAGGTCAGATATTTCAGTATTCAGTTTTACATGCCTCAGTTTATGAATGCATCATTATCAGATTAATTGTTGCATTCTCAGTTTGCATGTTCAGTTCGAGCTATCCAGTATTTACAGAAATTCAGTCATAACCAGTTAACTACTTAATTCATTGGGAGTAGCATAATACCGAGTTGGACTAGGGTTTCAGCGTACCCATATAGTCCCAGAACTACGAGCCACGTAGGTGTAAGTCCCCTCTGTGGGCAACATCAGTTTAGTGATCACGCCAGCATGCCTCTATACCTCTGGCAGGGTATATTGGGTCCTCTCGATGGGGCGTATACATCGGACTCCACATTTAGCTCATGTGGTTTTATGTCGGTTATTAGTAGGTCCCACAGTTTAGTCAGACTCTATTGCATTGACCATATTTCAGTACAGTCAGTATTCAATCTCAGCATGTTATAAATTTGGTCATTGCATTCAGTTAGCTCAGTATTCAGTATTTCAGTATCTATATCATGTTCAGATTATATCATTGCTCAGTATGCTTTGTTCAGTTATATGTTATTTCAGCTTTACTCCATCCTGCATGCTCAGTACCTTTCAAGTACTGACGCATACGTGCGCTACATCTTCTCGTGATGTAGGTTCAGGTTCTCAGCATCCAAATCACGCTTAGATCGGTTCCCGATCTCCAGTTCAGCAGAATCAGTGGTGAGTCCTCATTCTCCGAGGACAATAGTCATGAGTTTCTTTTCAGTATTTTAGTCTTTAGTTTCAGTTTTGCTAGATCTAGTTGGGGCATGTCCCAACATTTCTAGTCAGTTTAGAGGCTTATTTCAGACATAGTTAGATTCAGCCTAGTATTTTGAGTTTGATATTTCTTTTGTATTAAACTCTCAGATTTGATATATTCAGTTATAGTATATGGGTATTCCCCATCTTTTCAGATTTATTTATGAATTAGCTTCCGCATCAGTTTATTATCTTTAGTATGCTCATGATCATGCCAGCAGGGTTAGCTTGGGATCACTTGTGGTCCTAGGTCCCGTGTCCGCGTCTTGGGGGTAGCTTGGGGCGTGACAAACTTGGTATCAGAGCATTAGGTTTAAGTGTCCTAGGATGTCTGAAAAGCCGCACTAGGTAGAGTCCTTTTCATGGGTGTGTAGTGCGCACCACATCTAATGAAAGGGAGGCTACAAAGTGTTTTAGGAAATCTTCATTTTCTTGTTACTCTTATCGTGCGTAAGGTATGATCTAAATTCCTTCTAACTCGACGTTCTACGTTTCAGTGATCATGCCTCCTCGTAGAGCTTATGCTAGGAATGCGAATGCCAGGA